CCACAGACTCGTGGTGTTGCGTTCGATGGTTCTTCCTAAAAATTATGGTGTAAGCGCTAAAACCACTAAATCTTTTGGGAGAGAATGTACAACCGGGGGGCTTTCCTCCAGGAAATGAAAAATTCGGTGCTCTTTTTCCTACAACTATCATAAGATTTTGGTGCGCTGAAGGAAATGGCTGGAGGGTGTTTCATACCCCCCAAACTCCCCGGTGATACATCCTCTCCCAAAGCGTTCTGCCCTAAGACCTCCCGTGATAGTTTTTCATTAAGTAAGCCCTTCCCTAAAAACTATGGTGTAAGTACTAAAACCACTACATATTTTGAAAAAGAATGTAAAACCGGGGGTTTCGTTTTCCTACAACTATCATAAGATATTCCTGCGTTGAAGGGAGTACCTGGGGGGTATTCCATACCCCCTGGCGCTACAGCCTCTTTCGAAACGTTCTACGCCAAGGACTCCCGTGATAGATTTTCATAAAGCACAAACGAATCTCTTCTATTCCTTGTGAGTGCCAAAACCACTAAATATTTCGGGGTGGGGGGGGGGGGTGTAGAATGGGGGGTCTGAGGGGTATGTAATAGGTACTCTTGTGGTGTTACGTTCGTTGGCTTTTTCCTAAAAATTAATAATCATTTTTCCTCATCGAAACTGCTTCAACCTTTCTAATGTCGAGGTACTTTTGGTTGATAGTGGTGTAGTTATTCGTAAATAAAAACAATTCAACGTTCCCCAACTTATACGCGATGGTAGACACTGGTAATATATTTTAGGTGAAAGTACTGTTCTACTTTTGGCTCACGCAATTACGAATGGAAACAGTTTGTTACTGTTCGTTCACCTTCCCAACAGGAATCACACGTGTGCCACTCTATCGAAAATGCAGCATCGCTTTTGAATGTTACGTATTTCCTTATGCGAATTAAGGCAAACGCCCGTAATTTCCTTGAAGTTTCCTCGTGCACTCCAACGTAATTTCCTGAATTGTTTTTTTGTTACTAACTGGCGATCTAAAATGAGTTGCTGTCGAGTCGCCTTTGGAAGTTCAAGGCATCGACATATAATAAATGAACTGCGCGTGTCACTGCGAAACGCGGATACTGTAGGTGAGAGAGAAGGGAAAACTAAGAGGGCAAGCTGTCTCTTAGGGTTACGCATCTGATTGGTTCTTTCAACAGAAGCGATCGCGATCGCATTCAAATTAGATTGCAGAACCAATCAGATGCGTAACCGTAAGAACGAAACGCGGATACTGTAGGTGAGAGAGAAGGGTAAACTAAGAGGGCAAGCTGTCTCTTACGGTTACGCATCTGATTGGTTCTTTCAACAGAAGCGATCGCGATCGTATTCAAATTAGATTGAAAGAACCAATCAAATGCGTAACCGTAAGAGACAGCTTGTCCTCTTAGTTTTCCCTTCTCTCTTACCTACAGTGTCCGTGCTTAGCATTGGCACGCGCAGATCATTTATTATATGTCGATGGTTCAAGTTAAGTACGGTTTCTCATGTACCTAAACAAAAATTTCCAAGGTGATTCGACAGCCACTCATTTTTGATCGCTAATTTGCAACGATTCCGTTTTTGAGCCGTAGTTGCTTTGGAGTTCAGAAAGTTCTGGCGGGCTTCCTTCTAGGAAATGAAACATTTGGTGTTCCTTTTCCGACAACTGTCATAGAAACTTGCCGTGGGTCTCTGAGCTGTGTAAATCTCAGATCCTACTTTCGCGATTTTGGTGCGCTGGAGCGAATGGCGGGGAGGGGGGGTATTTTCCATACCCCAGACTCCCCGGAGCTACATTCTCTCTCAAAACGTTCTACCCTAAGGACTCCCATGATAGTTTTTCATAAAGTACCATCAAATCTTCGTTTCCAAAAACGCATTCCTCACCCCACAGGCTCGTGGTGTTACGATCGATGGCCCTGCCCTAAAATCTATGGTGTAAGTACCACAACTCCTAAATATTTTGGGGGAGAATGTAGAACCAAGGATTTCCACCCAGGAAATGAAAAATTCGGTGCTCTTTTTCCTACAACTATCAGACTATGGTGATTACTCAGTGTCTCCTCCCTTTCGAGCCTTGTTCCTTTGGTATTTATAAACACGGCTGGTTCACCCCGAAAACGTACCCAACGCAAATGAAAAATTCGCCTTAACACCCAAGCGCCAAGGGTCGGCTCGTAGCGGCCTCGTTAATTCCCGTAATTCAAATTCTCCAATCTCAAAACTTTATAGTTGTCTACTTTTTAGCCAAGTAGAGAAACCGAAAGGTGTTCAAGCTCTTCACGTATGCAATTTGATCCATGTATGAAATTCTAAAAAAAGCGAAGCGAGCTCCCGTTACACGGACCCCCTTAGTTAGTGGCAATTTTTTTTACAATACTAGACTAATCTATATTATCCAAAATGAATTAGAATTCGAAACCTCCCTGTGCGGGTGAATTTTTTTCACTTCAGGAGCGCATTTCACCCCCTTATACAGTTGCTGAGTGAATTACAACTTTGTTGATGATACTAGAGACAACCAACGTAAATTTCGTCGTTTTTTAGGTAGTACTACAGACTATTGCTGTAAAATAAATCATGTAAAATCGAGTGATAAATGAACTTATTTGCACTTCGGGTGGGTTCAAACGGGAGTTACAAATAATGATTTTTTTTTCTTTTTGATAATGGTTTTAATGAGAATTGGTACCTTTTCCTTCTAGCTGCAAATGAAATTTGAACGTCGTTTCTAGCTTCCTTGATATTTAGATCCAAATTCCACTTCACATGCATTTTTACTTTCCGACTACATACAAAGTATGTATAAAGGAAAGTATTGTAATCGTGATAAATTTTCCAAAAAAGTGATTTTTAGCTTGACGTCCGTGGGTCTGAGGGTGGGAGTGGTTCGTTTTTTGTGACCACGATAACTAAAAAACCCCTGAACAGATTTGGGCGAAATTTGGGGTGCATATAGGGTGGTATGGGGAATCGAAAACGTCCTATTTTGGTTTTGATCCGTAACCATCTTCATGGTTGTTGAGGGTGTCAAAAGTTTAAAAGATCCATAACGGCTGGAAATTTTTTTTTCTTTTTTTAACTTACACTGACCAAAATGGCTTAAAAAACTCTACAAAAAATTCATTATAGTTTTTTGTGAGTTCCTTTGGTTTTGAGAAGTTTTGAATTGAAAAGTTAAACTATTTATTTTATTTTTTTAATTTGCATTTTCCTCTAAAAGTAAGCATCAAAGTGAAAAGTGTTAATTACAAAAAAGAAGGGTCGGGTTCAAAATAAAGGCGCTAGAGGGCATTTTGTAAATATTATACTATGACTAAAGATAATAATTGCAATGACTCTATTAAAAGTAGTCGGAAAGTCAAATCAGGAGTTTACCTGACAACTAGTTTTAATTCATAACTTGATCAAACAAATTCTAAATCGTGGCCACGTTCTTTTCTAACCACCCCTATATATATATAAAAAATGAAAATGCAAAATATATGTGACTTTCCTAATTTTTTTTTGTCCTAATTTTTTCCTAACAAAAAAAAACCGTTACAACTAATAGACATTCGAGCCATTTACAGGACAATTCGACTAAATCAAAATTGGAAATTAGGTTAAACAAATTCTTGCTAATGGGGTCCTAAGTAATAATTTCGTACAGAAGAACATAAGGCCAATTTAAACAGATTGGTACCCTTTTAAAACTTTAGTTATTAACGTCAATAAAAAATGTGCTTATTACTCAAATTTGACTTTTAACATGAAAATCCCGAATCTGCATCTAGTTTTTGGAAATTTCATCGAAATCAGTATTTGTTTTTGCACCCTCGTTTAGGGTTGCGCCATCCTGGGACAGGAACGCTATATTTGAAAAAAAACATGTTTACTTTTTATCCCCTCTATCGCCTGATTTTTTTGGCACAACAACCCTGTATAGTAAGGATTGTTTAACTACTCACTTTACTCATTGTTTAAATATTAAATTCATCATTATTGTGTGATTTGAAAATGTATAGCACATCATCCAACTGTTATCATTTATCAAAGATCAAAATTTGCAAGTGTGATTATTAGTTCCGATTTTAATTAAGACGGAATGGTTTTAGGGTATAACAGCGAAAGCTATTTCATTGTTTCACCATTTACCAATATTGTTAATGTTAGAAACTCTCCCTTCCATAAATTGGATAAATTATGTAACCTCTGTAAGTAATAGTCCCTTGTCTTGACAGATTTGCAATATTAACTGGACTTCGGTATTATTTTGGAGACTGTAAAATATTGCCTGTGGTTGGATACTACTCGTATAATACGAGTTTGAAGCAAATCAGAGTTCTCACTTACATAATACACCCATGTCATACACTAAGGCTTATTAAAACTTAGTATACCTACGAGTA